AAAAAAATGCTAAAATAAAAAGAATTGGCAGCAGTCATCATGTGGCATGTGCGCGGGCATACTCCTCACTTGTGAGATAAATACGGTTTTATTGGGGCCTGGAGATGATCTTGCCGGCCGGACGACGTGTCACATTGGAAAAGGGGTCGCATGGGGAAGGCTTCGACGCAGCAAAGCCGCCTCATTCCCCATTCAAATTACACAGCAACATTACACCACGCACGGCTCCGCCAGGTGGGAGTGTTGCCACCTTTAGGTCTCTCAATTCCTTTTTATCCGTGCCTGTGGGAGGAGAGTTGGAGGTAAGAGATTTTCGTATACCGTATTACCTGCTGGAGTGATGACGGAGGATCGGCGAGGTCAGTCACTACAGGCTCTGTCTGGAAGGACGTGGGGGGGGGGGGGAGGGGTAAGGACGATTTCATAAATAACCCGATCTTCAACATCCCCACCCCTTCCTATCCACAGCTTTGACGGATAATAAATAAACAGATAAAGTCTAGTGAGGAGCATAACTAGTTATTATCAGGATTCTAAATTACTAACATTACCCAATGGTAATGAAACTGAAACGGTTATCATTACTTTTATGGGAAAACTAGTAAATTCTATAGAATTTCACTAATGAAACTTGATCTAATTACCATAAAACTACTTATATATATATATATATATATATATATATATATATATATATATATATATATATGTATGTATATATATATATATATATATATATATATATATATATATATATATATGTATATGTATATACATATATATATACATATATATATATATATATATATATATATATATATATATATATATATATGTATATATATAAATATATAAATATATCTTTCAAATGATGTTTGGTACCTAAAAATGTACAATCTAAACTAGCAAAGAATATCTCCATGCTACTCTTGCACATTTAGCCTCTAACTTGGGCTAAGAATTTCACTAATGAATCTAATTACCATAAAACTACTTATATATATATATATATATATATATATATATATATATATATATATATATATGTATATATATATATATATATATATGTATATATATTTATATACACACATATACACACACACACACACACACACACACACACACACACACACACACACACACACACATATATATATATATATATATATATATATATCTTTCAAATGATGTTTGGTACATAAAAATGTACAAACTAAGCTAGCAAAGAAAATCTCCATGCTACTCTTGCACATTTGGCCCATAACTTGGGCTAAGCGCAAACAAAAGACTTAATCATGCAGTGTTTTTTTTCGAGAGACAAAGTCGATATCACAGAGGAAGCATCCATTCGTGCTCTCTTGCTAAAGAGAAAAAGATAAAAATGAAAGATAGGAATTGGGTCCATCTTTTACCAAAACAATTTTATTTCATATACTGTACGAAGGCTTCATATAAGGATACTATCCCTGCATTTAATTTCTACTCTCCATTTGTTGATATCACCGTAGTGCCCTATACACCAATGGGGTCAGAATGTACAAATCTCAGTCACCAAGAATGGATGCGCCCTCATACCCCGATAGCCTTCACAGATCTGTGTACTGAACTGAACAGCGGTTTCATTGAAAATCCCGCACAAAATAGCGTCGCGCCACATCGCTGAGTTGGATCATGAGCGATTCCTCAGCGACGCTAGACTGAGGACTCCAGTTACTCGAAAACGTGATTTCAATATGCCATACGGGATTCACATCTGAATAATTGTTGGCGACCAAGAGTAGCCCAGCAGGTGTTTTTCAAGGAATCAAGGTCTTATTTTTTCTTGGAATGGTTACAGTGCAGTGTCTCTTCAATTCGTACTTGCCGAGATTATTCGTTGTCATTAATTTACTATCACTTTTCTCTTTGGTTGTGTCCCAATGTGCACTGATATATGATATTGATAGTCCAACCTATTGCCGTTGTCCAGAGAAAGAATTTTAAAAAGAATCTAATAGTCTAGCGTGGTTAATGGTTAATGGTTAAAAGCAAGATAAATGTGCTAGACATCTAAGGTCATGTAGCACTATAGTTAATGTTAGTGAAGGGTGGTTGAGTTAGTGATTAGTTGTCTAAGCTGGGCAAAGGAATTAGTGAGTGAAAAGGTTAAGGTCGGGTGTTATATTAGATAAAGGGTATGCATAAGAAAGGTTTCTTGAAGGCATACAATAGATGGGTTATAAGAGGAAAGGATATGATGGTCAGGTCTGTGGGAGCGGAAACCGCGAATATTCCAATGAAGGATAGTTATACTTTCGTTGATTTAGTGATATAGATTGTAGTACGTGTTGGAGAATTTGAAGGGGAAGGGGCTAGAGGGTGGGATAAGGACTGAGAGGTTTGAGATGGGAGAGGTGTGGGAGTTGGTGTTCTATCAGGAGGGGTATTAGGAGATGGAGGGTCTGAGGAAGGGGATACTTGTGACATAAGGGATTCACGTGTGTATCCAGGAGGGAGTGGAAGGGATAGAGGGGATGGTGGGAGAGTTAATGTGGGCAGGGTTGGGGTCAGGGGGGATGGGCTGTGTTGGGAGGGGGTAGGAGGGTAGGGTGTAGGGGGGATATCGTTAGGAGGAGGATGGATATCAGCAATTACTTGGAGTGTGGAAGGAGCCGGAGTTGTAGGTTGAGTGTCGGTTTTCATTAAGTAATCTTGAATATTTTCAATAGTTTCTTCTGTGGAGTTGGTTGGGGAGTTTTGGGGGATAAAGGATTTCTTGTGAGGGGGGGAAGAGAGGACTGGTGTCTCAAGAGTACGGGCAAAGGATGATGGGGGTGATTGTGTGGTAGGGGAAGAGGGGGTGGAACGTTTGTTCTGTCTGTTACGGGGAGTGCGAGGAGGGAGAGGGGAAGGTGTTGGGGTTGTAGTGGTGATTGGAGTATCTGTAGTAGAGATTGGAGTTTCTGGATTTAGGGTGGCAAAAGAGTTTGACTGGGGAAGGTAGGTGGGGTTAGTGGGGGGGTTAGATGTAGGAGGGGTGGGTTTAGGAGAAGTGTTAGAATGAGCAGTATTACTGGAGTAAGGAGTAAGAGAGAATCCACGTCGACGTGCTTCCTGTCTGGCTTCACGCAGTGTGAGTCCGAGTTTGAATCTGAGAGTTGCTACCTCAGATTCAAATTTGTAGGTGGGACAGCCCCTATAAAATACATTATGGGGGCCGCCACAGTTGGCACATGTGCGTGATTGTGCAGAGCAGTTAGATCGGGTATGGCCAGGTTGGGCACATAATGGGCATCTGGCTGTGGAACGGCAGTGTTTGGCTGGGTGTCCTAGACGCCAACAATTTTGGCACTGACGTGGAGGAGGTTGGTATGGACGAACAGGGAGGGATTCTCCTCCTATGTAGACGTTAAAGGGAAGGTCATGTCTACGGAAGGTAATTTTGGCTATGTTAGTGGGTTTCTTTCGATGACCTCTGGGGGGGATGGAATAGCATTGTACTGATGTTGCATCGTAGTCTGTGAGACAGGCAAGTAGATCTTCTCCACAATCTGACCAATCTTTGTCATAGATTGGGCAATTTGTTGGTGAGATTGAGACTGTTCCGGTGCAAGTATTGAGGGTTGCATGGGGTTCTGCTAGGATGGGGTTACCATATAGGTCAGTTAGTTTTTTAATGCTATGGCTTGGTTTTCGGATGTTACTGTTACAAGACGGGAGCGGTCGGGTCGGCTACGGAAAGAGACTTTACCTACTTGTTTTTGGAGGCATTGTTGGAAGAGAAGGGTGTTGTCAGAGTAGGGAGCTGTGGGAGGGATCACGAAAAATCGGTCCCATTTGGCTGCACTGAAGAGAGTATTCAAGATTGTTTTAGAGATAGGGGTGGTAGAAGGGCGAGGGCGTGACGAAGATGGAGTAGTGTTGATGGAGGTAGTGTTATGGAGAGGTGGGCTATAAGGCTGTAAGGTATTAATAAGTGAGGATGGGGTGGTTGATGTTGGAGGTTGTGGGGGTAGAGGTGTTGAAGTTGGGCATGCTGGGAGAGTGGAAATGTTCCTTGAGGGTTGATTGTTGGCTACTGTACTAGTAGGCATTGGTGAAGGGGTAGTTATTGCAGTGTTTGGAGCCGTGGTCAAAGGAGAGCCTGGGGTCGGGGAATCGGGTGGGTTTACTTCGTTGGGGCTATTTGATAAAGGGGCAAGCCTCATTGCCCCTAACAGTGGGGATATATTTTCATTACTGGCCATGGGAAGCCTGGATTATGTTGGGGATAAAAGCAGTCCACCCCTCAGGGTCCCCTTGAGGGGTAAGGGCTAGATAACTAAATCAGGGGAATACCGTGCCCATGGCTCCCTCAGGCCAATCAGGACTGGCACAAAGTCAGCCTTTCATCCTTTCAGCACGGCTCTCACACCTTAGGAGGTGGATAGCAGAAGGGTTTGGTGAAGGGACAGAAACAAAAGTGGGAAGGGAAAAAAAAGACCATGCATAATTAGTTGAGTCGAGGGCTGAGTCCTAAGGTTGGGGAGTTCCCCATCATTGGGTCCCAGTCTCCGCCTCCTAAGCCCCCCCACGACAACAACGGGCAAGGGATTGGGGGGGAATTATTAGGGTAAAGTTACAGGTTAAACAGTACTTGAGGGTAATGTGGTAGTGAAAAGGGTTGAGAGGGGGAACTAATAGGGTATAGTATAAGTAAAAGGTTATTAATAGACGAAGGAGTCAGGGGAGTTGGGAGCATTATAAACGTAATGTGGAGTTTAGCATTTAATATAAGTGAACAGAACAAGGGAATGAAAAAAGGAATAGCAAAGACCATGCAAAATTGGTAGAGGCGAGATACAAGGCAGGAGTAATCCACAACACTGGGCCCGTCCCTGTCTCCTTAGCCCCCCCCCCCCCCACGACAACAGCGCGCAAGGGATTGGGGGGGTGGGATCCCTGACTAACTAACTTTGTATGAACCTTGAAAATAAATGGGTCAATATAAAGTTATAATGGGGACAATAATACACTGCTGAATATTTCACATTCTTGGTCATTGTATAAGAATTTATTTCTTATAAATTAAGCTAATATTTATAACATTTACATCCCTACGTATTCATTTGTAGCTTTTACATTTATTGTAACAGATTTACAAAAGTTCAACAAAAATAATAATTCTTCATAAATAAACACGCTATCATATTTCTCTAAACATAACACATCAATGCTTGGCATCCGCTGTAACAAGCTCGAACCACTGTCGAAGTGCGGTTGACAAGGCTTGCGGCAGAGTCTCCAGGTCCCTCACCACCAAGAAGAATGGAAAGGGGAAGGTCTCCACGAGCGGACGCATCTCACCTTTCTCATACACGAGGATATCGTAGAAAGAATACTGGCTATCTTTTGCATCGAGAACAATGAAAACTATGAAGACCCTCTCTAATCGTGCTCTTCTAACAGCAGCTTTGACCTGTTCTGCCCTGGTATGAGTCTGACCATCGCTTAGGATGATAAGCAGCTGGGCGGTGTCTGGGTTTCCATGGGAGCTGTATCTCTTCACTCCCTTGAAAATGGCCACAGCATCCTCTAAGAGTTTACCAAAGTTCGTCATTTTCTGTTCGAATGTTAGGTTGGCTAAAATACGGCTTCCCGACTCGTCACTGAAGGTATCGCCTAATGGGTGCAAGACGTTTGTCGAAGCTCCAAAACTGAGGACACCTACTTCACCGGATTCTAGGAGTGTGAGCGCCTTTGTTACCAAGGCCACGCTCTCGGTTGCTAAAGTACTTGTTCGTGTTTCAGCCATGGACTCGGAATCGTCCACTGCTAGTATTATCTGATATGTTCGTTTGCTGGGTTGCGTTCTTCTGAGCCAGATCTTGTCTTTCCTAAACTGAGAAGCAATGTAGGGTATCACTTTACGCATGTTCAATCTCTTTCCCGTTCTGTAGTCTCCACGTAATCTAGCAGCCTGTGTTGGTTCTAAAATGAGACGCAACTGCTCACACAACTGCAATGCCATGTTTGCCACACGGGCTTCGTGCTTCGTCCAAGCTGCATCACTGTCCTCGGTCTGTACAGCAGTAGTCTCGATGTCCTGTCTAGTTTCTTCTTCATTCTCATTAAATGTGTATGCATCTTCTCCTTCTTCATATTCATTTTCTGTAAGACAAAAGTAGAATTTGAAGCACATATTAGAAATTCACATGCATCTAAGGAAATCTGGTATTAGTAGGATGTCTTGAAATCCGTATGTATTTAGAAAAAAAGGAGTATTAGAAGTGAGTATCAGAAATTCAGTTGCTTCTAATGAAAAGTAGTTTTAGAAGTATGTATCAGAAAATTCATATGCACTTGAAGAAAATTAGAACACAACAGAAACTCATTGGTATCTAAAGAAAATTAATGAAAGAAGTACGTATCAGCAATTTACATGTATCTACAAAGACAGTCGCATGCCACTGCCATCCAGAAGTTGATTCTTACCGTCTGTTAAGAGGGTGTGAATGAAGCTCTCCGGTGCGCGCTCCACAGTGGCCGCAAGGATAATCTCTCCCTCCGTTTCCACCTTGGCATCTTCTCCCTGGGGATCAGGCTGCGACTGACCTCTGTCCTTGCCTTCGTTTCTTTCTTTGTCTTGTCCCAGTGCTTCCTTTTCGTCTTCAGCCTCGCCTAGGTCCTCATCAACCTGCAGAAATAAATAGTTACATTTTCTACCTTGTCCTGTTTTAAATATGTCCGTCAGTTATTTTACTCTATATTATTTAGACAATACAAAACAGACAAGAAAATACGCGAAATGTACCTTTAATTTCTTAAATTAAGGCATATATTGAAAACATTATACTAAAAAATTATACAAAGACTCCCTACCTCCATGGGAGTATCCATCATCTCCTCGTTCTCCATTTTGTTGTCCTCGTCCTCCTCCGTGTTGGCAGGGGCAGGGGCTTCCTGGGCCTGCTCCTGTGTCCCGGCATCCACGACCTGCTTGTCGAAATGGCTCTGGGCCTTGTTTATGTGCTCATACTCTTTGCTGGACTTCTTTTCCTCCTGTAGGATAAAATTGGGAAGTAATGAGAAATAATACCAAACACTGTTAAACCAAGGATTAGTATAAAGATTAGGAAGATTTTCCCTTCACATTAATCCTATTAGGCACTAAGAAAAATGTGATCATGAATGGGCACACACCCATCGTAAAAAACAACTTACAATTCTGTATGTTCCTATTAAACTTAGCAACATTTATGGCTCTTTATAGTGACAGGAATTCCCAGCCTTACCTGTTCTTGCTGCTTTTGGCGTTGGTCGTTCCGCCGTCTTGGATTCACTGACATGAGACCTTGTTGCGCTCTATTTTCTTCGTCCCCTGTTACAACGGTAAGATATACGAGAATACAGAACATGCTATCTAATTAAAATATATTACAAAATTATACGTAAAATCTGTGAATCCATAACACGCATATTATCTAAAACACATTGCAGAATTAAAGCATTCCTATTCCATGAAATGAATTGCTATACCATATGGATTGACCAACCTAGCGTTCGATCATCGTCCGTCTCTCCTGGTCGACGGGGCTTCTCCATATCGGTGTTATCGTTGGCTGCATCTTCGGTAACCAAAGCAGAGTTATCTCCTTCGTGGGCTTCCTCGCGCGTGCGACTCTCCGACTCACCCACACCTTCCTGGTCTTCCGTTTGCTCTCCCGTCTGGCCGTGCTCTTCCTGCTTCTCGTCGTCGTCCAGCTCGGGCTGAGCTCCTGCGTCTTCCGTTGGCTTTTGCTGGTGGAAACATTGTGCACGGTTATTTTCACAAGTCAATTATGAATGAAGACAGCACATAACATATGAGATAAGACTTTTTCTATCAAATTTCTCTAAAATCCAAGTTCACATTGATAACTAACAAAACCAACAGAAAAACAAAAATTGGTCTCAAGTTTGATTGCTTGTGTAACCTACATTGCCTAAATGCTGAGCATTTATACCGTACCTCTCAATTCTAAATCATATAATCATATCCTTATCAATACCAAAAGAAAATGTTTGCATTTCTAATATGATCTAGTTTAAACAAATTAAAACCAGCAGAACTTACTTTTGTCATATCTTTGCTTGCTTGGGTAGTGTCCATCTCTGCTGCCTCTGCGTTGGTCTTGCTGTCTTGATCGTTTGATGCGTCTGCTTTATCTTCGTTCTTCGTCTTATCTTCATCCTCTTTCTTTTCCATTTCTTCCTCTGTTCCCTGGGGCTTTTCACCCCTGTTTTTCTCACTGTTTTTGTCATCATCTGCTTTGTCTTTCTCTTCTTCCTTTGCTTCCTCTTCAGCTGCTTCATCCTTTGTCTGATTCTCTTCTTCTCCTCCTCCCTCTCCTTCTTCTTCTTCTTCTCCCTTCTTCTTTGGCTCTAGCGCTTCCTCTGGCAAGATACCCATCTCGTCAAATTCAAATGGATTTTCTTCCTCCATGTTCTCTTCACCCTCTCCATCATTCTCACCCTCGCCCTCGCCTTCGCTGGCATCACTCCTTTCACCCGTGTCATCACCTAAGTTCATGTCCTCAGGTAATTGCATGGGTGGTTCCTCATCTTCATTCTCCATGCCTTCCTCTCCACCATAGTCGTCCTTGAAATTGTCATCATACTCCTCTTCCTCTTCACCCTTATCCTCATTCTCTCTTAACTTATCCTCCATTTCTTTGAGTTTCTCTTTCTTTTTCTGATCCTGATCTCTTCCCTTGTTGCTCTTCCTCTCATCTTTAGCGACCATTTTTGATTCCCCATCGATCTCTTCACCTGTTCCATCATCTTCCTCTTTCTTTTCTTCATCCTCCTCATCACTCTCTCCATTATCATCCCAAACTTTTTCATCGAGTTTTTCAGCGCCCTTTTCCGTCTCTCCCATCTGCTCCTCCATATCCTTGTCATCGTCATCTTCGCTCTCATTGTCATCATCTTCATCTCCCTTTTCTACGTCTTGCATCTTGCCTTCAAAGTCTTCACTCATTCGCCCTCCATATCCTTGTCATCGTCATCTTCGCTCTCATTGTCATCATCTTCATCTCCCTTTTCTACGTCTTGCATCTTGCCTTCAAAGTCTTCACTCATTTCCACTCCCTCATCTTCCTTCAAGTCTTTATCACCCTCTTTCTCACTTTCTCCCTCCTGGAGAGCAGACTCCAACTGATCTTCAGATTCTAATCGATCAGACATATCCTTCTGTCCTTCACCATCTCCAAGGCCTGTTCCTTCGCTATCTTCAAACTTCGTGGCACCCTCTTCTCCAGCCTCCTCCTCAAGTTCCTTAGGCCGACAGAAGCCTTTGACAGCTAACTGATGGAAAATTGCCATAATAACAGATGCGAATTTGCTAATACTTCTGTTGCTATGGGCCATATATGTAAGTACTGATTGGCACAATGCTTGGTACTGTTCTATCAAAGGTAGGGAGGATTTCAATACGAGCAAGATTTGTGGATGATTTTCACTTTTCTTCACTAAATCTTCTAGGATTTTCACCACCTTCCCAAGTCTCAAGGCTTTCCTGTCATTTTCCAAATTTTCCACTAATCCTTCTGTTAAATCTTTCTTGGGAGTTTCTTCATCATCGTGATCTTCCTGTTGCTTCTTATGCAGCTTGTATACGTGTTCAACTCCTAACAATACCTGTGTTAGACAATACTCAACATGTCTAATGCTGTCATCACTGATAGCTTGTATTTGTGATTCTGAGTCCATCAAAGAAGTGAGATTGGCCTCCACTGATTTCCAACTTCTCACCCAAATGTTCAGGGGGTCAGTAACAGGCAAATGAGTGTCCTTACTTGAAGACAGTAATACTGTAACATTCTGAATCTTGTCACCCACAATGATAAATTCCTTCATGGTTTCTCTAAAAACTTTGGTGTGTTCTACTGTTAGCATGCGATCCTCATCAAAAAGTTCCATTTGTTTGGCTAACTTCCTGGCAAAATATGTAGCCAACTTTTCAATATCTCCAAGAATGATTTTTGCTTCCTCTAGATCTTTCTCATCAGGCACTGCAGAGTTTTCTTTCAATAACAAGAGAGGAGGAGATGTAGGCACAGTGTCTAGCAATGCACATACCTCCATTGTTGTTAGAGCAAGGGAAGTAGCTAATCCATGAAGTGTTTGCCAGCCAATCTTAAGAGAAACAACTGGGTGGCATTCAGGAGTTACAGTTGCTACATCTTGCAAAATGTTACTTAGTCTACGACTGTCACCACTAATACTTGCTAATGCCTTTCGTTGGTCTCTAGCCAAAATGAAGAGGTAGCATGACACACCACGCAACCTTTTGATGAGCTCAGGCCCTAGATCGCCATGAGGTTGTTGGAGGGCTGTCAGGAGTCGGGTTTGTCTTCCAATGCACCTGTCCAGGTACTTCTGACAGCCTGCCCAAGCTTCTCTAGCAGATTTCAAGGATTTACTACCTGAATGAGCAACTTCTAAATTCAGTGGTGGGAGATGTAAACACTTCTCAACATCCCCATCACTCCACATACTATTTCCACGGGTATAAGTGACACCAGTAGCTGTGAGTGCCTTGAACAGCTGAGCTAGGGAATCCCTGCGGCGTTGCATTACACTACGTAATGACTTCAAACGATTCTCAGACTCTGAGATGCCTTCTGCCTTTGTGGCTGCTGCCTGTAACTCCTGGTAACTAGAAATGACTGCAGCAGTCATCTCTTCAACCATTTCTATATGGGATGCATAGGGCAGAGTCTTCAAAGTCGAGGTCACAAGTTTGTGGCAGCGAGGTGTTAATGCTCCCAATTTCCCTAGCACTGTGTTTTCTGGTACATTAGTAACATCATCAACTTCACTTGGCTTTGATGGCACTGTGGGAGCTACTTGAAGGGCTAAGCTATTGTCTGGTTCTTTATCCCAAGCTCCTGTCTGATCTTGTGATAACTCTGAATCTGCATCGTGGAACAGTGGAGAAGCAGGCTGCCTGAGCTTCTTCTCCCAACTACGCATATGACGATGCAAAGTCCGATGGCTCTTATTCACAGACTCACGTACAGAGAAGAAGTTGATATCACGCCACTGTGCAATTTTCACAAAGCCTTTTACTTCCTTGTCAATGGGCTTTCTTGCTTTACTTAATGTGGCAGTGACTTCAGGTAAGTACTGTAGGTAATATTGGTGGAGATTCCATGTGAGAGCCAGGAGTTTCTCAACAAGCTTACTCTTTTCTAGGACAGCAAGATTACAGTGGAAAGCATACAGCATTTCCAAGCGGAGCTGGAAATCTCCCAGCAGAGAGGTCTCAAGGAACTGTTTCAGGGTTTTCGATACTTCATCCAAAGAGACCTTTTCTGCAAGTGCAACTTGGAATGCTTCATATAGGTGAGGCCACCACTTCCTTCCTTCAGTTGCAACCTTATGGGTTATCATATTCAGACAGTTTTTCCAGCCATGTAGCTCCAGTTTCCTCCACTCTATGATCTGATGTGTCACAGCTTCCAGTTGCTCCATCATAGAGACACTAGCATGAGCATTTTTCTCCCATTCTTGAGCTTTTTCCAGGATTGTTTCTAAGCCTACAATATGTCTCATTAGTGGTGAAGTCAGTGTAAATCCTAATACTCGATTTACCACTGTGTTAACCATCATCAGTACAGGGTGGTCTGGCCATGAACGCAAGAGCTCATCCACTCGTTCACGTACTGCTTGCACGAGGGGCCGAACCTTTAGGGCCTCTTGGGGATTTGGATCGAGATATATGTTGTATGGGTGAGAAACAAGAGGGGCTGGGGGATCATGAGTAAGGATGGCACAGGAATTGTGGTTGCTCAGAATGTGAGCGCCCAGTGATACTCGATCCAAGTGACTGCCAGCAATAGGTCCAATGGTGTTGATGATAGTTCGCAACACACGCAGTCTTATGATTGATGCTGGTATCATCTGAGAAGAGGGGCTCACACTTGGGGCTGAGGGTGCACTGCGCCATGAAGTATTCACCAAATTAGTAAACAACAGGCGATGTAATTCACTGATCTCCTGCACCTCTTTATCACTTAACTGACCTAAGACTTCATCTTCATCCTTTTCCTTATTTGTTCTCTTTTTCGCTTTCTTCGAATCATTTAAGTTTATCCCATCCAGATCATCAAATTCATCATCAAAGGAAGGAAAAGCTTCAGAGAATTCTCTTTCAATGGTTTCTTCTTCTGTCTCTGATGCAGCCATAGTCCGGTCCTTATAACGATAGAGGCTCTCCTTCTCTTGTGCTTTCAGAGCCTTTTCCTCTTCCTGTTGGCGCCAGATTGTTGTGACTTGTTCCAGTAAATGCATGATCATCTGAACAGCCTTCTTGTCTAAATAAGCTTGAGCCAAAGTTGTACTGAACAGGTCTAGAAGTACAGATCGTAGTACCAACGTACTAAGAAGCTTTGCCTGACCAGGATATTCATCCTCTGGAAGCAAAACAGGGACAGTCTGCTTCACTTCCATCTGCTTACTCAGCTGCTTCAAGGGGTCCAAAGGCTCTCGGGAAACAGGGAATGCAGAATACTGGGCCATGCTCTCAGTTACATTTGTGCCACAACTAGCACTGACTCTCTGGATACGGGCATGTGTCACTAGGAGACGCAACGCCTCACAGGACATGGTGACAGACTGAAGCAGTGGGTAAGTTATGTCTCGATAAAGAGGATACTGGCGGACCATTTGCTTAACAAAATTATCACAGGAAGAGAGCATAACATCTACCATCAATATGGTTTTATCCTGAATAGAACTTTCTTTACACTTCAGCCCAACCAATAACTGCTTAAATTTCTCAAGATAGAAAACAGTAGACAGAAAATGATGAATGTCTTGTTTTAGCTGAGGATACGTTGGTGGGTCTGGCCTGTATGCTACCTTCTGGTTTAGTTTATGAGATTCATCTTTCAAATACTCATGCCTTTCTTTCATTAGTATTCTATGCGGATGAGAAAGTCTTAGAGGAGCATTACCTAAACCACCTTGTAAGCATTCACACCAGTCTGCTAACATCATATTGGACTGCAAGTCCTCCATTTCTTCTTCATAATACCTCAAGAGAAAGCACACACGTTGAGCAGAGTCCACTGGCTCCATGTAAGCCAACAAGCTTGTGCGGAACATTCCCACAGCTAAAACAGCATGGGCCGCTAGAGCAGATTTAGTTTGCCAGTCACTGCTGCACTTCTCAAGTTCAACAACAGTATCTGCAATTTCAAGAAGTAGTTCCTTGCAATCTTCAGGTATAAAACTAAGGCTTGAATCTGCAAGTTTTACTGCAAGACTTGATGCCGTTTGCAAGTCAGAAACACCAACATTAGATGGCATGTCAACATGACAAATGAAAGCTAGAGTGCTTAAAGTAGAAGCTATGTAAGCAAGAGCAGCTTTTGTAAATGATGCTTCATAGCTGGAATCTGGATCAGTGAGACATGTCCAGTTACTCCAGAGAGTGGAACGAGTTGACTGTAACTGAGAAACCTTTTCTATGTGAAGTCCAACAGCAACCTCTTCTATAATGTTCTCATTTCCACTACCTGGACTGTTGTTGCCTGTTGACAGAATGTATGTAAGCTGACATGCAGATGGATGATAGAGATGTGCATGTCTATCTTTTTCATTTTCATGATCATCTTCTGAAGAATGAAGTGTGTATTCTAAGAAAGAACGTGTCTTACTGAATGCAGTGCTTTGTCTCATTGTCAAGTAGTAGTGAGTGTCAACTGCAGTCCCTGATTGAACCCCTGGACAAGACAGAACTGCTGCCATTTCTTTAAACACTCCAGGGGCAACACACAACATATCTGAAATATGTTTGGGGATCTTGTTATTAATTCTCCCCAGAGACAGTCCTATTAGAGCCAAAAAGTCTTGTAATGGCCAAGTTTGAACAGTAAGAACAGTAAGATCCACATCTTTGGATGTGAGCAGTCTATCATTCTTCAAGCATTTACTGTTTATCATACTTTCCAAGGTATCAATTCGAACATCTACATGATCAGCTATCTCACTGCTACAATCACCAACTTCTACTGCTCTCTGCATCAGCGACTCCCGTATTTCAATTCCAATTTTGGAAGCCAAAAACAAGTTTACGTTGTGTTTATCTGCAGCTGGGGCTACAGAATCAATAAGACTCATCAGTTTAGCTTGGGCATCTGACACAAATGGTGAAATGAACGGAGCTGGAGCAATATGAGATCGAAACTCTGCAGCCAATTTGTGAAGCGTCCCAAACTCCTTCTCAAAAATGGTTTGCATCTGACTTACTATACTCTTCAATTTTGCTGAAGCTATTTCATTCCAAGTTTCAGGGATTTTCTTCAATAAATATTGATCAATCCACTCCCAGTGTAAGGTCAGCTGAGGCACAAGTTTGTGGCAGCGAGGTGTTAATGCTCCCAATTTCCCTAGCACTGTGTTTTCTGGTACATTAGTAACATCATCAACTTCACTTGGCTTTGATGGCACTGTGGGAGCTACTTGAAGGGCTAAGCTATTGTCTGGTTCTTTATCCCAAGCTCCTGTCTGATCTTGTGATAACTCTGAATCTGCATCGTGGAACAGTGGAGAAGCAGGCTGCCTGAGCTTCTTCTCCCAACTACGCATATGACGATGCAAAGTCCGATGGCTCTTATTCACAGACTCACGTACAGAGAAGAAGTTGATATCACGCCACTGTGCAATTTTCACAAAGCCTTTTACTTCCTTGTCAATGGGCTTTCTTGCTTTACTTAATGTTGCAGTGACTTCTGGTAAGTACTGTAGGTAATATTGGTGGAGATTCCACGTGAGAGCCAGGAGTTTCTCAACAAGCTTACTCTTTTCTAGGACAGCAAGATTACAGTGGAAAGCATACAGCATTTCCAAAAAACAAATGAAACCTGGACTTTTCAATGACTTTAGAACAGAGCTTAGTCAGCCGGTTTTGCCAGTGCAGGGAACTCGCTAAGTGACACCATTCGAGATCTGTGAGAGGCACCTGTGTGTTATCGGTGAGGGCTGAGATGAGCTGATCAATGCCCTTTAAGAATGGATATAGCAATGGAATCGAGGGATGATGAATCAGGTGTTTCCCTGCACGACCCTTGCTGATGGATTCAGAAATCTCTAATAGTGTCATGGCATCCATTTTTTTCTTCTCATCTTCTTTCTTGTCCTCAGGATCTTCTTCAAAATATTGATTCACACTTTTACATATCCACACTTTTGATTTATTTGCAAGACCTTCAACATCAACTTCTGACTTGTTACTTCCTTGCACTTCTAGAGAATGTACATTGAAACGTGGATCAACAGCAAGGAAATTTCCCAAACAAGCTTGTAAGGTTTCAGATGCTTTGCACACTTTCTGTGAAACAATCGACTGTAAAACAGACACCACCAACTCCCCAAGAGGCTTTGCTTTCTGAGGAAGCTTGCTGATTAGCTTCTCCAGCAATTTGTGGATCATTTGCCAATTGTCCAGGGGTGTCAAGGTCAGAATGAGAGCTAAGCAATTCTTTACACTGTTTGGCATTACAGGGAGAGGACAGGTTACTGGCAGGGTTTCTGAACCACATGCCTCTGCAGATTCTGGGTATATCTGAGCCAGAATGATGGAATGTAGAAGTGATGAAAGCACTTTTGCATGTGCTAAGCTGCTTCCTCCACTCAGCCTGCATGTACTCAAGGTCTGATGCTCGTATAGAGGCCAAGGAAGGTTCATGGATTTTTCCAAGAAGTCTGGTATTACATGTAGAATGTGATTGATTTCATCCTGTAACTGTGCCTTTCCTTGAGATCTGTTGGATATTACAACAAAATGTAAAAATACATAATTCCATACATGACTCATGATAACACATAGAAGTACAGTACAGGACTATCAGGATTATTAAGCATATAATAATGAGCACAGAGGTAGCTATACACACACACACAAAAAAAAAAGATTAATACCTTTCAATATATGAGGTTTACAGCAGTAGCTAAAACTGCTCAATACCCAGAACCCAAGTAATGCAGTGGACAAGGGTGGCAAAATCAATGACACTACTTTATCAAAACTTTTACCAAACAAAAATCCACTCACCTGATGTAGACTACAGCCAAAGCTTTTCTAACGGCCAATTCTCCTCCAAAACCCCGCTGGACTAACTGGTTCACCATAGATGCTGTTTGCTTGAACTGGCAAATACTTGGTCGCTCATGTACTGTTTGGGAGGGAAAGAATCAGGATTACCATTTCTTTAACAATACCAATAAAACTATGCGTAATCAGTTAGGGAGTATTTACACATCACCAAATATTGTCAAAGGAAAATCATTATAATAGATATCATGAAGCAAACCTTTGAAAATATCATACTGCCTATTATGTACATAGAGAGTACTGATCATATTACTTTCCTTAAAGTTTATAGCATTTACCCAATTAAGGTATTATTGCTTACCTGGGAGCTCTGTTGTAAGCAGTCTGTAACTCTCATACAGGGTATTCTGTAGTTTTGAAGATGTTATGCCATTCTGAAGCAATAAGGCACGGAAGTCCTGTGGTTTCGTCCATGTGTTCACAGAACAAATTTCAATGCCACGGTTTCTCATTGCTCTATAGTTAAAAAATAAATATGTCAGCACTGAGATGATAATAAATCAATCAATCTAGTTGAAGTATTTCATGTGAATGCAACTTTCATATCTATATTTTCATAACTAAAGTGCTGTTATCATCATTTAACACATTTTATAAAAAAATCAAAGTAAATGGAACAGCACAGATTAGATTTCATAAACAGATGATGAATACTGTACTCAAAATACATCTACAAACATTCAATAAACAAATGAATGATAAAATACATAAATAGCTTACCGTGATATCTCTCCATTTTGTGGATCCATGGCAAGGAAGAGACGGAAATCTTTGTGTGGTGTTACAAACGGGACAGCGCCATCTACGACGCCCCTTTCACTGATAGTCAGGACTCCTCCAGGTTCCAGAAGAGCATTCAAACGATCCAGTACAGATGGAGAGCAGACATTTACTCCCTCCACTAACAGCCAGTAGCCTTCTCGTACAGCCTACGGACCACAAATATGGAATTAAGAGCCATCATACAAGTTTCTTCCTGCTATCCAAAAGATTTATGTAAAAATTTGAGGGCCTTTTTTCCCTAATATAACAATGCTGTAAAGATTAAATACATTATATTTGCATTTATAGAGAACTAACCTTGACAAGGATAGAGTCAACCCACTGGAAGGTGCCACCCCCTGATATTATGCCAGCCTCCTTAACCTGATTCTGTAGCTTCTTCACGTCACTTATCATCTTTGAAATGTTAACAAGCTCTTCAAGGCCCTTGCCATTATCACTCACAGCCTGGAACTTCTGCTCTGATTTCCTTCTCTGAAATGAAAGCAAGTGTCAGCTGCACATGAAGAAAAAGGGACAAGTGATAATGAATAACTTCCTAATGCAAGAGCTATACTTCATACATTTTTATCAGATCTTTGTGAGAATTAAATGTAATTCTGAAGATTTAATCCAAATTACAACTCAGTATCATATAGTTATTACTCTCCTTTTATATCAATTGAAAATTTACATTGTCCCACTCTTTAACCTTTCCACTTTAGAAAATATGAGACATATATGAACTATAATGTAATATGCTGCATGTATTCCATAAATACATATTTTGACAATGGGTTACCTAGCAATTCCATACATGGTAAATAAACCTAATTAGAGCTACTGTAATTGGTGTATCATTTGAAAATAAATTTCCTTGAAAAACATACCTTTTTTGGTCTAGCCTTAACTGGGGATTTGTCCTGTAGCTTATCATTCTCACTTATCTCTGTCAACAACTGTAAAAGGTCTAGCAAAAGATCACAACGATGAAGGAAGTGCTCCACTTCTCCAGAGGTTGTTCTAGTTGTCTCTGGAAGAGGGAAACATGGGTAAGTTAATAGTGTTGGAAAAGAAAATGTCAATAGCCCAAGGTATTAAATACCTGAATCATGCTAACTTCTGATGGGACAATTTATTTTGACAGTTACCTTTTCAATCATTTATATTTTTACTTAAAAACAAGAACAACAAGAACAACAACAACAACAACAACAATAATACCCATAAGCTCTGCATGTATCATTAAGGGGTTATCATAATGCCTTCCCCAAAAAACTACAATGTCGATAAAGTTTTCTACATTACCCCATTCATGCAACAGATGTAACATACTTATAACACAACTTACTGTCATTATGCACAGAGGTGAACAGTTCCCATGACTTCAGGATCTCTTTGGCATGTGCACTGGAATTGGCTAACATCAACTGTCTCATAGCTGCTGAAACTGCGTTTTCTGTTTGTTCTACTATATCTCCTAAAGATCTCCCATAATCAACCTGTACATAAACAAAAGTAAAATCTTAATATCTTTTCAGCTAAGTAAAGTATGCAGTAGTGTGTATTGGAACTGCATAATATCAGAGACAAATTTCTTCCAGGGCTAAAAATTTGTCTACCACAGTCAGTTATTTGTTTGAAATAATACAGTATCAATAAAAATTAACAAAAATGACTATGGACACATGACAAACATATATAGCTTAACATTCTTACACATATAATATTAATTCTGTTCTGTAGGGAAGGATTTTTTTTTGTATACACACAAATCTTTACTTTCTAGATTTCTGATTTACCTTTTCCACATCAAGTAAAAATCAACCACATTCACAAACTGAAATTAACTACCATAACACACACACAAAAAAACAATAATATACCTGTTGAAAGCCTCCAAGCAGTTCAGTGACATCCATATCAGAGTTAACTGTGAATGTGTAAAGCTGGTTACCAGTCAACCTGGCTAGCAGCTTTACCACTGATGTTTTTCCAACACCTGAAGCTCCCACCTGAAAAATCCAGATTTAAAATTATTAGGAGGGGATGGATTTCATCAAACTGTATATATTGAGAGAAGAATAAGAATAGAGATATAGAAGAATAGAGGAGGAGGAGATCAATACTACCTATTTTGACTTAGGAGCAATTATGTTATAAATCAAAATATGAATACGAACACTTACCATCAATGCCATCCAGTTCATGTTCACACAGCTTATCAAGCTCTCTATGGTTGGCAACTGATGGTGAATAACAAAAAGTTCTCCACTGTTGTCCTCACGACTCTGCATGTGGAAAGGAAAATTAGCTAATATTGGTTGAGAAAGTTTAAACATTCAAATATTTGGGTTATTTTATTGCAGCCTGAGGAATTTTTCGAATATATAACAATTTAACAGAATTCCACAGTACATACATAATCTCCATCTGTCTTTCGATCAATAAAGGAATGCCCGACTTGAACTGTCTTCTGCGTCACATGGAATCTTCCAACACTCTGGTAGCTTGGGTAAGCCTCTCCAAAGATACGGTTGTAAACTGTGAAGACGTTTTCCTTATCTGCTGCAGTTCTCATGCGGTCCGAGTATATGATTCCAACATACTCGCCTGGGTTAAAACTGCTTTCTGACTGGTGTTTTAACATGATATCACACCATCTAGGAAGAAGAAATAATTACTTAGGCATTTTTAAGGCTAACAAGAACACAGACATCCACTATCATTAATGTTGGCTTTTAAATGTATCAAGAAGTAACAATTCTCACAAAACATCACTGGTTTCCATTCAAAGAAGAACAAAGACATCCACTATCATTAATGTTGGCTTTTAAATGTATCAAGAAGTAACAATTCTCACAAACCATCACTGGTTTCCATTCAAAGAAAAATACTTAAAAAATCATGAATTCCACAGACTAATTTTTCTATATAAACAAAAAATATGTTCCTTTGTCTCTCAAAACTTTTTACATTTTTTTTACATATTTTTCAATAAATGTGACTCACCTGCACATGTCTCGAAGGTTGAGTTCCCATGGCCCACCACAGTGTCCCCAAAGACCTTGCTCTGATATCTCCTGCACAAGTTCTGTATTGAACTTTACCATTTTTGCAATGATCTCCTGGGGAAGACTCTCATACAAAATCCCCAGGATGAACTCTAGATCGGCGGCAGAAAGTGGCTCAATGTGAACCTGCAAAGAATAAAGCAAGAGTTGTGAGATGCAAAATAAGATTTCAGTTCCATTTAATTAAAAGAACAATGTATTTTCTACACAGAAAATGTTGTTTCAGCCTGTATCAACACTAAAATTTCATTATATATACATGCCACTGGTAATGTCTATACCCACAATCAACTACAGAGAAAGTGGACACTCACCTGTGTAAATCTGTTGAGGAAAGACTTTGGTAGACCTTTCCTAGCTCCTCCCTGAAACTGGGGGTTCTGGCAAGCAAATATCTTGGTAGTCTGATGTTCAATTTTAAACACTTTGCCTAATTCTGGCACAAAAATCTCTCCTCTGTGATCAAAGCAGGCATTCAAACCTTCCAGTACTGACTGAGATGCAAGATTCAGTTCATCCAGAACTACCCATGATCCCTCACGAAGGGCCTGGAGCAAAGGTCCATCTCGCCATGCAAATTTTCCTCCTTCTCCACCTTCCACAGGCAAGTCAGCACCAAAGAGATCACTTACGTCTGTCTGCTCTGACAAATTGATTCTTACAATGTTATTTCCAGAACTCTTTGCTAGAGCAATCACTAAACTGGTTTTTCCTACACCTGGGCTGCCTTCCAGCAACAATGGTTTTGAAAGCTGTAATCCTCGCAACAAACGGAGGAGATTTACACAGGTTCTGGGAGCTTTGAAGGTAAACATCATTGCTTTGTTTTCTTTGACTGGTCCTTTAGGTATAATGAATGGTTCTATACCAAAATGTGTATCACTGTTTACAAAATTCAGCTGCATCCCCAATTTTCCATCTAGTGTTACTGTATTTGGTTGTACACCAGTCTTCTGCCAAACCTTGCTGACAGAGATAACTGAGGCATCCTTCTCTCAACTTTCTCCATCCTTTCAATCCTGTGCCAGTGCGTCCTGATCCCAGTCCATCAAGCAAAACAAGACATGCTCCATGGATATAAGCTAACCCAGGATCTAAGCATTCAGATTCTGTGACTTTGTTTATGAAAGTAACCCAGGACAGCAAGTCTCTTATGCTTATAACACACTTACTTCCTAATTCCGTTTGGATGAAGTGCTCCAGAAACTGAAACATCGCTTTTCCAAATCCACTTGTATTATCCTCACTATTAAGGATGATTCCCTCCTTCACATTATGCTTCAATGATCTCCAGGACACCAGATGAAGGTCTCCCAATCTCAACTTTTGGACACCAAATTTCAGTGAAGCGATTTCTGAGAGCAGGGGACAGTTCCTTCTTGCCATAATCTCCACCAGGGTTCATGGTGCCAATGAGTCTGAAGTCCTCATGAGCATATATAATGTCAGGATTGCTTTCATACTCAACTCCATCTGTCCCCTTCTCAGCCAGAACCAGCATACGCTCTGGCTCAAGAACAGAGTTGAGTCTTTCCAGAACACTGTCATCAGCAAGTGAAATTTCAGTCAGCCAGAAACATGCCACCATCCCTCATAGACAGAATCAAGGGCCCATCCACCCATTCAAACAATCGGTCGTCTTCTTCTGTGCGTGATCTCACAGGACGCAATCCACCAAGGAAGTCAGCTCCTTCAGTATGCATGTGGCAGTTGATAGTGAAAAGCTCCTGATGTTTTTGAGCTGCTATCATCTGGCATACAGTTGTCTTGCCACAACCTGTTTCTCCTACTAGCAACACTGGCTCTTTGAAGCTTAACGACTTGGCTGCCAGGACATAGAGTCGACTCATGTCTTGTGTCCAAACAACATGCTCAAAGCCTTTGACTGTCGACAATTTTTCTAGACATTCTTTTGTGACTGGTGATGTTTTCTCTGAGAGTACAAACAGTGATTCCACATCTACTGCCTTGCCGAACCTCTTTTCAAGTACCTATCAAAAAAAAAAATATATATATAGATATATTTAATAATCATCCAAAAATCCATGACTACAAAATTACTATCCTGAGAAATCTTCACATTATAGATTTAATAATATTTTTTTACCAGATATTTTCAAATAATAATCCTAAAATAAATAAAACCTATTCCATAATTACAAACATTACAAGAATATGAATATTAATAGCCAATAATATATTTCCATTTCAATGTCTACAGACACTTTATTGCAAAAAGTAATATTCTGCACATCCATTTCCTGTTCTTATTTCCTGTTTTGATGGAAAATTATGAATTAAAAGTAAAAAATAGATGGAAAGATCACCAACAGAGACAATCACATATGAGTATGTGTGCCTGAGTGTTTCTGTTCCTTACACATGCATGCATAAAGAAGCTAATAGTATCTATTTCAGTGAAGAAATGAATACTGTAGTATTTACTACAGGTTGTAGAAAAAGACCTACTGTCTGAATGGCTTCCACTTCCTCCTCCACTCTCACTCTTCCTGCTAACACTAGGTAGCCTTCATCCACGAGGTGCTGGTTCCAATCGTAGTATTTAGTGGTCTGTTTTGGAGCGAGACGGTAACGCTCAGCCCAGCGGAACAGGTCACGAAGGGTGATAAAGGACTGCTTTCCCTGTTGGATTTAAGAGCAAATTATCATATTGCTTTTATTTACTACATCTAAATATTACAGTTATTAACATGATTAAGAGTATTTAGGGGAAAAGAGTGAAAAGAGTGAAAAGGAGAGATACAGATTGATTGTAAAAAAAATGTATCAAGAAGTAACCAATTCTCACAAAACATCACTGGTTTCCATTCAAAGAAAAATACTTAAAAAATCATGAATTCCACAGACTAATTTTTCTATATAAACAAAAAATATGTTCCTTTGTCTCTCAAAACTTTTACATTTTTTTACATATTTTTTCAATAAATGTGACTCACCTGCACATGTCTCGAAGGTTGAGTTCCCATGGCCCACCACAGTGTCCCCAAAGACCTTGCTCTGATATCTCCTGCACAAGTTCTGTATTGAACTTTACCATTTTTGCAATGATCTCCTGGGGAAGACTCTCATACAAAATCCCCAGGATGAACTCTAGATCGGCGGCAGAAAGTGGCTCAATGTGAACCTGCAAAGAATAAAGCAAGAGTTGTGAGATGCAAAATAAGATTTCAGTTCCATTTAATTTAAAAGAACAATGTATTTTCTACACAGAAAATGTTGTTTCCAGCCTGTATCAACACTAAAATTTCATTATATATACATGCCACTGGTAATGTCTATACCCAATCAACTACAGAGAAAGTGGAACACTCACCTGTGTAAATCTGTTGAGGAAAGACTTTGGTAGACCTTTCCTAGCTCCTCCCTGAAACTGGGGTTCTGGCAAGCAAATATCTTGGTAGTCTGATGTTCAATTTTAAACACTTTGCCTAATTCTGGCACAAAAATCTCTCCTCTGTGATCAAAGCAGGCATTCAAACCTTCCAGTACTGACTGAGATGCAAGATTCAGTTCATCCAGAACTACCCATGATCCCTCACGAAGGGCCTGGAGCAAAGGTCCATCTCGCCATGCAAATTTTCCTCCTTCTCCACCTTCCACAGGCAAGTCAGCACCAAAGAGATCACTTACGTCTGTCTGCTCTGACAAATTGATTCTTACAATGTTATTTCCAGAACTCTTTGCTAGAGCAATCACTAAACTGGTTTTCCTACACCTGGGCTGCCTTCCAGCAACAATGGTTTTGAAAGCTGTAATCCTCGCAACAAACGGAGGAGATTTACACAGGTTCTGGGAGCTTTGAAGGTAAACATCATTGCTTTGTTTTCTTTGACTGGTCCTTTAGGTATAATGAATGGTTCTATACCAAAATGTGTATCACTGTTTACAAAATTCAGCTGCATCCCCAATTTTCCATCTAGTGTTACTGTATTTGGTTGTACACCAGTCTTCTGCCAAACTTGCTGACAGAGATAACTGAGGCATCCTTCTCTCAACTTTCTCCATCCTTTCAATCCTGTGCCAGTGCGTCCTGATCCCCAGTCCATCAAGCAAAACAAGACATGCTCCATGGATATAAGCTAACCCAGGATCTAAGCATTCAGATTCTGTGACTTTGTTTATGAAAGTAACCCAGGACAGCAAGTCTCTTATGCTTATAACACACTTACTTCCTAATTCCGTTTGGATGAAGTGCTCCAGAAACTGAAACATCGCTTTTCCAAATCCACTTGTATTATCCTCACTATTAAGGATGATTCCCTCCTTCACATTATGTTCAATGATCTCCAGGACACCAGATGAAGGTCTCCCAATCTCAACTTTTGGACACCAAATTTCAGTGAAGCGATTTCTGAGAGCAGGGGACAGTTCCTTCTTGCCATAATCTCCACCAGGGTTCATGGTGCCAATGAGTCTGAAGTCCTCATGAGCATATATAATGTCAGGATTGCTTTCATACTCAACTCCATCTGTCCCCTTCTCAGCCAGAACCAGCATACGCTCTGGCTCAAGAACAGAGTTGAGTCTTTCCAGAACACTGTCATCAGCAAGTGAAATTTCGTCAGCCAGAAACATGCCACCATCCCTCATAGACAGAATCAAGGGCCCATCCACCCATTCAAACAATCGGTCGTCTTCTTCTGTGCGTGATCTCACAGGACGCAATCCACCAAGGAAGTCAGCTCCTTCAGTATGCATGTGGCAGTTGATAGTGAAAAGCTCCTGATGTTTTTGAGCTGCTATCATCTGGCATACAGTTGTCTTGCCACAACCTGTTTCTCCTACTAGCAACACTGGCTCTTTGAAGCTTAACGACTTGGCTGCCAGGACATAGAGTCGACTCATGTCTTGTGTCCAAACAACATGCTCAAAGCCTTTGACTGTCGACAATTTTTCTAGACATTCTTTTGTGACTGGTGATGTTTTCTCTGAGAGTACAAACAGTGATTCCACATCTACTGCCTTGCCGAACCTCTTTTCAAGTACCTATCAAAAAAAAAAATATATAGATATAGATATATTTAATAATCATCCAAAAATCCATGACTACAAAATTACTATCCTGAGAAATCTTCACATTATAGATTTAATAATATTTTTTTACCAGATATTTTCAATAATAATCCTAAAATAAATAAAACCTATTCCATAATTACAAACATTACAAGGAATATGAATATTAATAGCCAATAATATATTTCCATTTCAATGTCTACAGACACTTTATTGCAAAAAGTAATATTCTGCACATCCATTTCCTGTTCTTATTTCCTGTTTTGATGGAAAATTATGAATTAAAAGTAAAAAATAGATGGAAAGATCACCAACAGAGACAATCACATATGAGTATGTGTGCCTGAGTGTTCTGTTCCTACACATGCATGCATAAAGAAGCTAATAGTATCTATTTCAGTGAAGAAATGAATACTGTAGTATTTACTACAGGTTGTAGAAAAGGACCTACTGTCTGAATGGCTTCCACTTTCCTCCTCCACTCTCACTCTTCCTGCTAACCACTAGGTAGCCTTCATCCACGAGGTGCTGGTTCCAATCGTAGTATTTAGTGGTCTGTTTTGGAGCGAGACGGTAAACGCTCAGCCCAGCGGAACAGGTCACGAAGGGTGATAAAGGACTGCTTTCCCTGTTGGATTTAAGAGCAAATTATCATATTGCTTTTATTTACTACATCTAAATATTACAGTTATTAACATGATTAAGAGTATTTAGGGGAAAAGAGTGAAGTGAAAAGGAGAAATACAGATTGATTGTAAAAAAAATGTATCAAGAAGTAACAATTCTCACAAAACATCACTGGTTTCCATTCAAAGAAAAAATACTTAAAAAATCATGAATTCCACAGACTAATTTTTCTATATAAACAAAAAATATGTTCCTTTGCCTCTCAAAACTTTTTAATTTTTTTTTATATATTTTTCAATAAATGTGACTCACCTGCACATGTCTCGAAGGTTGAGCTCCCATGGCCCACCACAGTGTCCCCAAAGACCTTGCTCTGATATCTCCTGCACAAGTTCTGTATTGAACTTTACCATTTTTGCAATGATCTCCTGGGGAAGACTCTCATACAAAATCCCCAGGATGAACTCTAGATCGGCGGCAGAAAGTGGCTCAATGTGAACCTGCAAAGAATAAAGCAAGAGTTGTAAGATGCAAAATAAGATTTCAGTTCCATTTAATTAAAAGAACAATGTATTTTCTACACAGAAAATGTTGTTTCAGCCTGTATCAACACTAAAATTTCATTATATATACATGCCACTGGTAATGTCTATACCCACAATCAACTACATAAAAAGTGGACACTCACCTGTGTAAATCTGTTGAGGAAAGACTTTGGTAGACCTTTCCTAGCTCCTCCCTGAAACTGGGGGTTCTGGCAAGCAAATATCTTGGTAGTCTGATGTTCAATTTTAAACACTTTGCCTAATTCTGGCACAAAAATCTCTCCTCTGTGATCAAAGCAGGCATTCAACCTTCCAGTACTGACTGAGATGCAAGATTCAGTTCATCCAGAACTACCCATGATCCCTCACGAAGGGCCTGGAGCAAAGGTCCATCTCGCCATGCAAATTTTCCTCCTTCTCCACCTTCCACAGGCAAGTCAGCACCAAAGAGATCACTTACATCTGTCTGCTCTGACAAATTGATTCTTACAATGTTATTTCCAGAACTCTTTGCTAAAGCAATCACTAGACTGGTTTTTCCTACACCTGGGCTGCCTTCCAGCAACAATGGTTTTGAAAGCTGTAATCCTCGCAACAAACGGAGGAGATTTACACAGGTTCTGGGAGCTTTGAAGGTAAACATCATTGCTTTGTTTTCTTTGACTGGTCCTTTAGGTATAATGAATGGCTCAATACCAAAATGTGTATCACTGTTTACAAAATTCAGCTGCATCCCCAATTTTCCATCTAGTGTTACTGTATTTGGTTGTACACCAGTCTTCTGCCAAACTTGCTGACAGAGATAACTGAGGCATCCTTCTCTCAACTTTCTCCATCCTTTCAATCCTGTGCCAGTGCGTCCTGATCCCAGTCCATCAAGCAAAACAAGACATGCTCCATGGATATAAGCTAACCCAGGATCTAAGCATTCAGATTCTGTGACTTTGTTTATGAAAGTAACCCAGGACAGCAAGTCTCTTATGCTTATAACACACTTACTTCCTAATTCCGTTTGGATGAAGTGCTCAAGAAACTGAAACATTGCTTTTCCAAATCCAGTTGTATTATCCTCACTATTAAGGATGATTCCCTCCTTCACATTATGTTCAATGATCTCCAGGACACCAGATGAAGGTCTCCCAATCTCAACTTTTGGACACCAAATTTCAGTGAAGCGATTTCTGAGAGCAGGGGACAGTTCCTTCTTGCCATAATCTCCACCAGGGTTCATGGTGCCAATGAGTCTGAAGTCCTCATGAGCATATATAATGTCAGGATTGCTTTCATACTCCACTCCATCTGTCCCCTTCTCAGCCAGAACCAGCATACGCTCTGGCTCAAGAACAGAGTTGAGTCTTTCCAGAACACTGTCATCAGCAAGTGAAATTTCATCAGCCAGAAACATGCCACCATCCCTCATAGACAGAATCAAGGGCCCATCCACCCATTCAAACAATCGGTCGTCTTCTTCTGTGCGTGATCTCACAGGACGCAATCCACCAAGGAAGTCAGCTCCTTCAGTATGCATGTGGCAGTTGATAGTGAAAAGCTCCTGATGTTTTTGAGCTGCTATCATCTGGCATACAGTTGTCTTGCCACAACCTGTTTCTCCTACTAGCAACACTGGCTCTTTGAAGCTTAACGACTTGGCTGCCAGGACATAGAGTCGACTCATGTCTTGTGTCCAAACAACATGCTCAAAGCCTTTGACTGTCGACAATTTTTCTAGACATTCTTTTGTGACTGGTGATGTTTTCTCTGAGAGTACAAACAGTGATTCCACATCTACTGCCTTGCCGAACCTCTTTTCAAGTACCTATCAAAAAAAAAAATATATAGATATAGATATATTTAATAATCATCCAAAAATCCATGACTACAAGATGACTATCCTGAGAAATCTTCACATTATAGATTTAATAATAATTTTTTACCATATATTTTCAAATGATAATCCTAAAATAAATAAAACCTATTCCATAATTACAAACATTACAAGAATATGAATATTAATAGCCAATAATATATTTCCATTTCAATGTCTACAGACACTTTATTGCAAAAAGTAATATTCTGAACATCCATTTCCTGTTCTTATTTCCTGTTTTGATGGAAAAATATGAATTAAAAGTAAAAAATAGATGGAAAGATCACCAACAGAGACAATCACATATGAGTGTGTGTGCCTGAGTGTTTCTGTTCCTTACACATGCATGCAAAAGGAAGCTAATAGTATCTATTTCAGTGAGGAAATGAATACTGTAGTATTTACTAGAGGTTGTAGAAAAAGACCTACTGTCTGAATGGCTTCCACTTCCTCCTCCACTCTCACTCTTCCTGCTAACACTAGGTAGCCTTCATCCACGAGGTGCTGGTTCCAATCGTAGTATTTAGTGGTCTGTTTTGGAGCGAGACGGTAACGCTCAGCCCAGCGGAACAGGTCACGAAGGGTGATAAAGGACTGCTTTCCCTGTTGGATTTAAGAACAAATTATTATATTGCTTTTATTTACTACATCTAAATATTACAGTTATTAACATGATTAAGAGTATTTAGGGGAAAAGAGTGAAAAGGAGAAATACAGATTGATTGTAAAAAAAATGTATCAAGAAGTAACAATTCTCACAAAACATCACTGGTTTCCATTCAAAGAAAAAATACTTAAAAAATCATGAATTCCACAGACTAATTTTTCTATATAAACAAAAAATATGTTCCTTTGCCTCTCAAAACTTTTTAATTTTTTTTTATATATTTTTCAATAAATGTGACTCACCTGCACATGTCTCGAAGGTTGAGCTCCCATGGCCCACCACAGTGTCCCCAAAGACCTTGCTCTGATATCTCCTGCACAAGTTCTGTATTGAACTTTACCATTTTTGCAATGATCTCCTGGGGAAGACTCTCATACAAAATCCCCAGGATGAACTCTAGATCGGCGGCAGAAAGTGGCTCAATGTGAACCTGCAAAGAATAAAGCAAGAGTTGTAAGATGCAAAATAAGATTTCAGTTCCATTTAATTAAAAGAACAATGTATTTTCTACACAGAAAATGTTGTTTCAGCCTGTATCAACACTAAAATTTCATTATATATACATGCCACTGGTAATGTCTATACCCACAATCAACTACATAAAAAGTGGACACTCACCTGTGTAAATCTGTTGAGGAAAGACTTTGGTAGACCTTTCCTAGCTCCTCCCTGAAACTGGGGGTTCTGGCAAGCAAATATCTTGGTAGTCTGATGTTCAATTTTAAACACTTTGCCTAATTCTGGCACAAAAATCTCTCCTCTGTGATCAAAGCAGGCATTCAACCTTCCAGTACTGACTGAGATGCAAGATTCAGTTCATCCAGAACTACCCATGATCCCTCACGAAGGGCCTGGAGCAAAGGTCCATCTCGCCATGCAAATTTTCCTCCTTCTCCACCTTCCACAGGCAAGTCAGCACCAAAGAGATCACTTACATCTGTCTGCTCTGACAAATTGATTCTTACAATGTTATTTCCAGAACTCTTTGCTAAAGCAATCACTAGACTGGTTTTTCCTACACCTGGGCTGCCTTCCAGCAACAATGGTTTTGAAAGCTGTAATCCTCGCAACAAACGGAGGAGATTTACACAGGTTCTGGGAGCTTTGAAGGTAAACATCATTGCTTTGTTTTCTTTGACTGGTCCTTTAGGTATAATGAATGGCTCAATACCAAAATGTGTATCACTGTTTACAAAATTCAGCTGCATCCCCAATTTTCCATCTAGTGTTACTGTATTTGGTTGTACACCAGTCTTCTGCCAAACTTGCTGACAGAGATAACTGAGGCATCCTTCTCTCAACTTTCTCCATCCTTTCAATCCTGTGCCAGTGCGTCCTGATCCCAGTCCATCAAGCAAAACAAGACATGCTCCATGGATATAAGCTAACCCAGGATCTAAGCATTCAGATTCTGTGACTTTGTTTATGAAAGTAACCCAGGACAGCAAGTCTCTTATGCTTATAACACACTTACTTCCTAATTCCGTTTGGATGAAGTGCTCCAGAAACTGAAACATCGCTTTTCCAAATCCACTTGTATTATCCTCACTATTAAGGATGATTCCCTCCTTCACATTATGTTCAATGATCTCCAGGACACCAGATGAAGGTCTCCCAATCTCAACTTTTGGACACCAAATTTCAGTGAAGCGATTTCTGAGAGCAGGGGACAGTTCCTTCTTGCCATAATCTCCACCAGGGTTCATGGTGCCATATACTGTTACAAAACATAATTAAACAAATCAAAAGATACGAAAAGAAAATGGTACCTGGAAAGCCCTCTGAGCTAAATCGCTATCCTTGTTCTCTATGTGCTCAGACACCCTTGCGCACCACTTCATGAGGTCCCTTGTGGATACTAGGCGGCCAGACACCTTAACAGTGGTCAAATCTACTATGTCATCCTGACTTACATGGGACCTGTCATCTTCGTGGTGTCCAGCAGACATCATTAGATATGTTCCAACTAGTTTGTCTGTTATAGTTTCAAGGACAGGCCACCTGAACAATGGAAATTAAATAAAGATTAACTTCAGAATTCCCAAAAATAACATTAAATATAAACACACACACACACACACACACACACACACACACACACACACACACACACACACACACACACACACACACACACACACACACACACACACACACACACACACACACACACACTCTCTCTCTCTCTCTTCCAGTTTTAAAAAATTGATTTATAGGTCCAACTTCATGTTATATCCCTAAAAGGAGATTTTGAGGAAATTATAAAAAAAAATCCCCCTTGAAGTAAAAAAAAATAATAAGGAAAATACCCATGTATTCTCTCTCTCTCTCTCTCTCTCTCTCTCTCTCTCTCTCTCTCTCTCTCTCTCTCTCTCTCTCTCTCTCTCTCTCTCTCTCTCTCTCTCTCAAAACACACCAACCAGGCAAATCAATAAAACAATCAGTCTACAATTTTGCTAAAATTAAGGTAAAACATCAAAGATCATTACCTGGTAGTCACAATCTCCTTCAGTTCAGAATGCTTCAGTGTTTCCAGTGTAATCTTCAGCCAGAGCTTCTCTAACAATCCTGCATTTCCACTGACCATCTTGGCTCCTCCTAGAGTCCGTCGCGTGGCAAAGAGCTGGAAGTCTGGATGGGCTCGTACATTTCCGTGACCTGCATCAAGGTAGGCATTAGTAAAATACTTCCATTTAATTCCCGAAATTTCTCATAGGCCTTACACAAATGTCGTCAAAAGGACTGTCATTTCCTACAATGTGAGACGCCACGATGTCTTATAGGGTATATATATGGTATGCCTGTATTCTTTACATGCCCTACATTCACCACTAAAAAGAAATTCACTGAATGACTTAGAGTCCATACCATCAATACACTCCCTTACCTGGTAGAGGCAGTGTTCTGGTCTCAAGAAGTGGAACCAAGATTGATATGACATCCATGGGAGCATAGTCCAGATCCTCTAAAAGTAGCCAGTAGCCTTCTGTCACAGCCTGAAAATGTAACGGTAAATGTAATCAAAATCAATCTAATCATTATCCTCAATACATTTTTTTTTTTTATAACTTTCTTTTCAAATTTGCATTTATTAAATAATTGATTTTTAATTGACTAAACTGATTATTTCAATAGTTTTCTGTTCTTCAGATTTTATTAATACACTCCCACAATTCTTACAACAGAGCATATACTACACCAGAAAAATACACTCCCACAATTCTTACAACAGAGCATATACTACACCATTCTTATTTTTGCCTGGCCTTCCTACACTGACTTGATCCACAATATTCAACTTTGTTAACTTCTTTCTCTCTAACTGCTATAACCATCTTTTCCACACATCCATACTACTCCTTGTGACCACCTCAATCTTAAGCTGTTTCCTTAACTCACAAGAGATTTTCTTATCCTTTACATGAAATCAATCTTGCAAATACTTATTATTGTTTTTAAGGCTTCAATAATCTTTACCATAAATAATAATGATTTTGATTTTAGACTAAATAAATGGTATTATCAACTACGAACACTAACAATATATAAACTAAAAGATAATAACACTGCTGATGACATTATAAATACCTGTAAATAAATGTAAAATTTGAGTGTGCTCACCTGTGTTACTGAGCCTGGTCTCCATATAAATTCTCCAGGTGTCTGTGTACAACAGTAAGTTCCAAGGAGTGTCTTGCTGTCTGTTTGGTCTCCAAGCTGAACCTGTGATAAAAGAATTAGAAATCCAATAATATGTTTTCATATGAAGAACTAATTAGTCTATAAGGACTATAAAGTCAACCATCAGTATTTTAGGATGAAAACCTAAAATACAGCTTGCTCTTTCTTTAATTCTATCCTAGACAAAAATTGACATTCACAGTCAAACCTCCTTTGCTGTTACCCAATTAGAGGTTTCATTTTCATGTCACAACAAAATATAAACAAACAAATTATTCAAACCTTCTATGGCATCAGACAAGCAATCTAGTCTCAAATGTTTCTCAATTTAAGACACAAAGTATACCAGATTATCCATTTTGCCAGGCCAGCAGAGATAAGATAACTTAATAACATCTTTGGTATCTTCAGAGCATCATGGGGTATCCGTAACACTTTGCTTAGTAGGTAAGTGTTACGGTAAATCTAAGCAAATTTGGCTAGGAATGGTACACAATCAATGTACAGAAACATGCATACTTGTGATGATAACAAGTGAACAAGAACATGAAAGAAGGAAATCATACCTTTATCAACATAGGAGCTTTTGTTCTTCCTGTAATGCATGCTAAATGCTCCACCAATGAGGTCTTCCCACTTCCAACAACTCCTTCTATTAATACTGGATCACCTCTGCTTACTGCCAGTGCTAGACATTCAAGGTTGCGCCTGGTCGAAGGAACCTTAACTAAGCATCCTTCCTCTTTCTGAAGAGAAAATCACCATTACTGTATAGGACTCGCCTCAAGGTTAACTCTTAGAAGCCAAAATTCTTGAACAATGCCAAACAATTATCATGACAGATATGAGGAATCCAATTCATGTGTCGTATTTACCTGTTCCTCCTTGCTATAGACTGGTAGTGCCACAAGCCCAACTGCAACAGTGTGTTGGAACTGCTGACACTCAGTCATTTCTCTGGTCTCTCCCAATATTTCTGGTAACTTTGGTTTTGAAGTCATGGTATTCTCTACAGACAAGCTAATGTGTACTTCCTCAGGGACATGCTTTCTTATTAAAGACTCTTTTTGCAATTCAGTCATTCTGGATAAAATTGCTATACACTGACACATCAGCCTAAAAGAAAAAAGAAAAAATTGTTTAAAAACAGTCTTCCCATTAACAGATACATATACTTAATGTAATATATACGACTATTATTACAATTATAAAACCATAAAGAAAAGAATCCACTAACCATCTCACTTCTTCTGAACTGTGATTTAAGAATGGTAATATATCTGACCATTTCCACAGGTAAATCAGGTCTTCTCCAACATGCTGTAGCAATATGTATGTTGCCTTTGCTATGTCAACATCTGTAACGCAATGCTTCTGAAGCTCATGACCATTTTTGCGTTTCTTTTGTTTTGGTTCACAGGAATTTCCTTCCTGCTCATGGAATGGTGCAGGAGCACTCTGGAAATACTTGAGTACAAATCTGTAAAAGGAAATATCAAATATAAAAACTCTTTGAGACTTCTAATTTTTATATCAACAAAATTTAGAGGATTAACTAAAACATATGAACTGTGAACAAAATAAAGTTGAAGTTCATTTTCTATGTAAAATATGTATGCCTACACTTCACACCAATCTTTGACCATCTCTATATGCCTTTTGTCATGCATATAATGCTGTAACTTTTTTTTCATTGGTGTCTGTACCTGTTTAACAGTCCATGAGAATATTGTATACATTGGCATAGGGACTATAAATAATTGTAGATATTCTCACCTGCTGACATCATTGCTGACAGTGACAAGCTTGCTAAGACTAACACAGAAAGCAGGATGTGCATCAAGTTTCTTCACAACCTCTTTGGCATGAGACAGCAGCTCCAATATCCATGGTCGCAGATTTGCTCCAACCAGGAGAGTCAAGTCTGGGTCTAAGAGTGCAGCTGCCACTGCAGTGAGCACCTCCTCCCATTGGTTTTTGTCCCATTCCTGAAATGGAATGAGAAGATATTACATTCTCTGGCATATGCAACATTTAAGTAAAAAATGGAAAAAGGGTGGCCTGATATGTAAAATGCAATGATCTCTATCATGTATAGCTTACTGAAACTGCTGCTTCAGTTAGCATACTGTGAATCCTTCTTCCTTAACCCAATAAGGACTTATTAATCATACAATTAAAATCTAATACAAAGACAGAAATAAATGTACATATAATATACACACCAAGTGCTTTCAGTGTTTAAAAAAAATTGAGAGCCAAGGCAATTAACAAATATAAAGACACTTTAATGAGCACTCTTGTATCAATTTGTGAAAAAGCATGCCTCTTAAACATGCCATAACAATACAGCAGACCTACCAATAGTAGAGGATAACTTGACATCCATGATTAGATATCCATAATGACTCGCTTACTACCTCAAAAAGGCATCTTACAATAGCAACCACTTGTGCTCTGCCTCTGTTGTCACAATTCTCTCAAGTTGATAGGCTTGTGCATTTGGAAGTTCATGTATAACCCAATGACATTTGTTTTTAAAATAATGCTTTGGTCTATAGACTATGATTACCTGTAAATATATGTATAGCTTCCACCAAAGACTGACATTCTGTGTGGCAATTTTCATGTACTATTTCTATATAGCATTTTAAGTTTTACCATGATATTTGTGGCATAAGAATGCCCTCCTCAATGTATATCAATAATTAGTCTAAATTTGCATTTTACACTCAATTTCATTTTTACAAATTCTTTCATCTTCATATATTGACTTGAAATTGGTAATATTTTGTCTCACACAACTATCCAACCTTGTTTTTCTCTCTCTCTTTCTTTTCTTTTTTTCCCCAGGTTTCATGGTGTAAAATCTGTTAAGCTGTTGATGTTTTCTATCATAAATGACCAGTTCTGGAAATAAGTGAAAGTACTGGTGATTGTTAACCACACATACACACCCTTCTGAGACTAATCAGGTCCCTATTACTTGACACAACCATGGGGACACTCCTGGGAATCCATAAATAATCACTGTATAAATTAAACTCCTTCCTAACCCAAGGCACCTGCAGCCCCCCTAAGGGGCTTCCACTCCCCAACTCCACCCAATAAGACAGCAAATTTACCACATACATACAGCATGAGAGAGCATGAGAGAATTGCCTTCCCTCTTTAGTGGCATCTATCAACCAGTTAATACCTTTTAGTTCCTGAATTATATATTGCCATATTTGCCCCACATCTATCCTGCCACTCCCTAGCCCCTAGGAAGGGTTGGGAGATGATAGCCCCCCAGAAGGGAGGGGGCAGGGGGAACAGCCCCCTGCATTCAGCAGTATGAGGGATTTTCATTACGCTATCATTAGTTTATCCCACAATTTCCTCGATACCTTTTATGTCCTCCCCTGCTATCGAGACTAAAAATGTGGGGTTTGAGGGGTTCCTCAGCATAATTCCTACATAAGTGTGTACTAGAAGGTGAGAGGAATCAATTGGTTATTCTAAGCTATTGTAAAAAGTTACCATGATATTTTCTTGACTTTTCATGTTATCCTTTGCCTGCAGATTATTTTATCAGTCACTGAGTGGAGTTTTCCTTTCTCTCTATGACAGTTTTATCAGATCTTTCTTATACTACTAAGGTCGTTCTATAAATGTAGATCAGTGTAATACATGTTTCACATCTTTATCAACAACTTGCAAATGCAATGCCATGGATGGAAAGCATCTTAAATTTTCTCAATGAGTCAACTACAGGCAAAGTTTACCTTGTATCATATGGCAGCATGAAACTCAAACTATATTTTGGCATTTAGGACAACTATATCTGGGTATTTAGAACAACTATATCTGGGTATTTAGGACAAGTAACTCTATACATCCTCAAGATTTTCAGTTACACCAGGAAGAAGTACATCAAAGCCAAAATTCCTCGTATTGCCAACGCAGCTGTAATACCAAGGGATTTAGTGCAGACCCAATAATCAACGCTAAAGTGCCCCAGTCCAGCATAAATCAGCAATATGGTTTTAATAATTTACCATATTATTAATATTGGTGTCAGTACAACTTACATAACTGTATTGGCAAAATCTAACATATAATTAGTTACTGGCAAGGAAATGACAACGACAATATCACAATGAAACGAATTCAACATTGCACCACATTATGATCATGAGAGCTTTAATATACAAATAATAAAGGTGTGACTCTCATCTTAGGCTTAATAGGTCATACAGTATTAACTATAAAAAAGAGAAGTTTTAACCTCTAAATCCAGCATAAATATTTCCTCTTTAAGGGACATGGCATGGATGACCATCATTGAATACCGTCTAGAAAACAAGACAATGCATAACAATTACACCACTCACCTCAATATCCAAGAACTTCTGGAAGGCACCATTGCACTTTTGGTCTATCTGCGAAAGAAGTGTTATTTCGCTGCGTAAATTGACACCCTCGGTCTCCATGGCAGCCCACGTCGTCCGCACGCGAGACAGGGAGCCACCATGTGTTTTGGTTCAAGGCTTCACACACTCTCGGTCTCTGGCACACGTGATGGTTGGGCTTTTATTATTTTTTTATTTTGTCAATTAGTTTCGAGGCTATATTTTTAGTATATGTATTTTTGGTATTTTTGTCATTACTTTAATTTATTTTGAGGTTGGTGTTAGTTTATGGATTTAATAGGATCAACTCGTGGGAAGTTGATCTTAGTTGCGTAAAAGTATATTCTTCAGAATTACTTGAACGATTATTTATATAGGTTTTACATCCTTTTTATATAATTTATTAGGTGATATAATATCGGATTTAAAACTATTATTTTTTTCACAAAACATTGTAAGTGTCATCATCTTATTTACTGAGTTCGAATGTGTAAGCGACTTCTACATACGTATATTGGAAAATTTCTTAAATTATAAAATCATTAATTGATTTCCAGTGTATCTAATATATAAAAAGTGTATTTTATACGTAAATGACACTTTCAATAGTACTTTTACATGGTGTAAACATTCATTGTGTTACTTATACATCACTTCATAAGACAATGCCAATGCTTTGAGATTTCCCCTAGATAATTGTCTAGGGAATCTTTGAATATATAGAATAATCTCAATTTAGAATAATGTAACGTTATATACAAAAAGAATTTCCTCAATAAGCATGGAAATCATAACAACTGTTTTAGAAGTCCCGAGTAAATCCATCCTTTGAAAATATTGAGGAAGTAATGTTACCTACATAACATCACCGACGGCGAAATTCCCTAGTGGAGGTGCAAGTAGAGAAGGGAGTACGCAACTATGGCTCTTACTGGTAAAACTTCTATTTATTTCTTGTATCCTATCGATATTATCCTTGCTAGAGTTTATTACGTGTGCAGAAGACTCCTTTGCAACATATGTATTTGATGTGAAGGAAACGGGTGCTGCAAAAACCTCATTTGAAAGACGGTCACAGAGTGCCGGATAGATCAGCTGTGTTATGTAGTCAAGTTTACAGCCAGTGAATTGTTTCATTTTTAGGCGTGGGTTAACATTTGAAGTGCTGCGTTGTTATTGATGTTATGTAACTAATGGCTCTTAATGGATTAGATGGTTTTATGTATCTTAGATATGGTTACTGGAATGAACGTGAGCTGCGTTTTTTTTTCTTTTTTTTAACCAGTAGACATTGTTTGCCACTATTTGCGAAATTGCGCTCTCTGTAATAAGGCTTTCTGTGCGGTTATTTTCATCATGAAGTGGCCCTTTTATAATATGTATTTTCAATGATGCTTGGGATACATACATCTATACACAGATATAGGTACAAAAGACAATTGAAATACTACAGAAGAAAAGGGTGCTATCTTTATACCCGAGATGGACTCCATAAGATTATATGACAAAGTGCTTGGAATCACAAGAATAGAATAGGTTAAAGCACTTTAGTAACTTTAGTATAGCTTAATCAAAGAGCTATCCCAAACCCCCCAGTTTGCTGCTCAGTTGTAGTGCCTGCTCCCTCCTCTCAGAGAACATTTTCCACAATTTGTTATAATTCTGTACAATGGGGATGCACACATCTTAGACTAAGTCCCCCATCTCCACGTCACAACCTTTATTCAGCAACCTAAATTGCCGTGCCAGAGTGTGTCTGAAGGGAGAGTTCATATGGGGCTCCACCCCCCAACACCCCCTGGGGAATATTGTCTTCACCTTGGTATGCACAGCAAGATAGACCTGAAACTTGGGGACACTGAGCAAACAAATCCTATGAGCGGCTCTTTCTGCCATCTTTTTCCTTTATTTGTGGTGTTAGCATTTGTGTCTGCAGGTGATTTCTTTTTCCGAGGACTGCAACTTTTTGTCCCACGCAAGAATATTATTTTCAGCTTGCCATAGCTTAGTGCGTCTATACTGTAAAGATTCTAAGATACGCATAACGGCTTTAGAAATGAGATTACTCTTATGTAATTTTATAAGCTTTGTTCTACTTAAAACCCATTCAGACTTCTTTTAAGTGGTAAAGTCCATTTCAGTATTTATGTCGTGTTTGAAGCATTTGCTGTGGCCTTGGTACTTTGAAGTCCACCATGTATAACCTGACAAGATAGAGCTTGGACTGGCTCCTTCATCAATAATAAATTGCTGGGAAGTCTTCAAGTTGCACCATTCTAGAATAGAAGAGATTTGTTAGCTTTGTAAATATCTTCTACATATTTACCTCACAACCTGCTCTATGAGAATTGTAGATACACTTGGCCATTGTAAATGAATTACCAAGCCAAATATGGATGCCCATTCTCCTCCCTCTTCCTCTTCCTCTTCCTCTCCCTCTCCCTCTCTCCTTCCCTCATTTTTTCTCCTTTTTTTTTCTTTCTTTCTCTCTTTCTTTCCTTTTCTCACTTTGTATTACTCTCTCTTTCTCTCATCCTTTTGTCACTCTTTCTTCCATTTAGTCATCCATTTGGTTTCTTTCCCTCTGTCTTTCTGTCTAGCAGACATCATTAGCTTCTTTGTCCAGTGCTGGATTGTCTGAATCTCCTGTCTCAAACTGATAGGATTCCACTCTACACTTAGCTACACATCAGCCTCTTTTTTGCCATCTGTCATCATCCACAAACAAATTAAAACTGATGTGAGAAAGGATCAGTTGTGATCTGTCAAAAGGAGTATTAACATTGGCTACTCACCTGCTGTGATGTCATCAAGCCATCCTGCATTTTTCTGAGATTCATCCAGAGTTCAGTAGCTTGGTGTACTTTAAAGGTGATTGCCATCAAAATTACTTGTCAGAGTAAATTCATTAGTTGATGGGTATTATCAGATGATAACAGTAAAATGGATCTTGGTAAAATGATGTTAATTTATCATTTATTTCCCAAGATTACAGGAAGTGAAGCTAGAACCTGATATATTTTAATTTAGAAATATAGATATATAGATATATAGATATGGACCTATATATATAGAGATATATAGATATATAGATATGGACCTATATATATATAGATATAGCTATATATAGATATAGCTATAGATATAGATATAGATATAGATATATATGCAACAAATTTTTGTTGATTTTTGATATGATCACTGATTTTTGTGAGTCTTTTACATTATTTAAATTCTAGATGTGTTTGGGATCAATTACCTGTTCAGAAATTAATTTTTTTTGGTCGATTGACTCACAGGAAGTACTTGTAATGATGTAAATAAGTGCACACAAGTTGTCCTTTGTCCTCTCCAGAATAGATGCAAAACATAAGAAACGATAAATAAAAATAATGAAATTTGCACTTAGAAATATTTCTTAAATTATAAAGTTATTTTTAGTTCCTTGCAAAAAAATAAAATAAAAATAAAATAAAATAAAAATGCAATTCTCTTTACAGTCTGGCGTGGCAGCGTACCTCAGCTGTACAGGGCTCTCAGTGGAGCGGTTTCAGTAGCTGCTCGGCAACAGAGCACAGCACCCCAACCAAGCACTGCCCCTGCCAAGTACAAGCCATATTCACCCTTCCAGAACACATCAAATGCTGCAGAATTTGCTGTTGCGAGATTAGATGATTTGCTTAACTGGGGACGCAAGGTGGGTACTTTGTCTGCAGTTTTGAAGAAAAATCAAGTCTTGGAGAATCATTTGTAGGTTATTTTCTTCAGAGGTTAAGCATTGCTCAACATTTTTTTATTTTGCCAAGGAAAGGGTGATTTAACAGAATTGTACAATTGATAAAAGCACAGCAAAGATCAGGAAAACAATGGAAAATCAGGAGTTTTTTATTCTGTATACCAGTAGTTTATTAAGGATACATTGCATTATATTTCTAACATAATACATGTAGCATAATCCTGAGAGCCTACCGAATGTGGTCACTTATATTTTATTTATTATTTTAGGGTTCATTGTGGCCCTTAACCTTCGGGTTAGCATGCTGTGCTGTGGAGATGATGCAGTGTGCTGCTGCCCGGTATGATATTGATAGGTTTGGTATTGTATACCGAGCTTCACCTCGCCAAGCAGATGTCATCATTGTGGCTGGTACACTGACCAACAAAATGGCTCCTGCCTTGAGAAAGGTTTACGATCAGGTGCGTACATTTAGGATATAGAAAGTTCAATTTTCATTTCAAACATCCAGATCTAGTTATTTTTATTGACTCTGTGTTTCCTAAACCCATGTGCTTTGATTCACATATGAATGTACAGAGAAAAGTTAGTGTGGATTGTAATGATTGTTCAATAATTTTTAAAAGGGAGTTTGTGTGATAACAGTGCCGGATGATTTTCAGATGCCTGAACCTCGTTGGGTCATCTCCATGGGCTCCTGTGCTAATGGTGGAGGCTACTACCACTACTCCTATTCAGTAGTTCGTGGATGTGACCGCATTCTCCCTGTAGATATTTATTGCCCTGGCTGCCCCCCAACTGCTGAGGCACTTCTCTACTCCCTCCTCCAGCTCCAGCGCAAGGTTAAGAAGATGAAGACCTTGCAGATGTGGTACAGGAAGTAAAGGAAATATACAGGCCACCTTTCATTGCTCTTTTCATGATAGAACGACAAGTTTAGCATTAGGTATATGATGTTAATTTTATGCTCACTCCTGTACATAAGGAAATGTTTGGTCCTGTGAAAGGATTAAAAATGTGGTGTTTTGGTGAGAATTATATGCCTATTTCCTTTATTAGTTGGTTGTACTATAACAAAAATTACAAACAGTACTGTCAAGTTGGTTATTATAACATGCATTAGAACTTAATATTTGTAATATTTAATTATCCGAAATGGCAAAACTGTATATATATTATAAATATTAATTATGATAATACTTTTTATTTCCTACACCAATGAAATCCCAAGTATTCAAAGTTTATATGGATGGAATTAGTATGCTATATATGTGCTTCACCACATATGATCCCCCCAATCCCATGCCCATTGTTGCCTTGAAGGGGCTTAGGAAATGGAGACTGGGACCCAATGCTGGGGATCACCCCTGCCTTGGGCTCTGCCCTCGAAAAA